TGGCTTGGTGCCCATATTTTGCCATTTCTTTTACAGGGTTATTCATTCTTATATGCACGTCTATTCATTTTTATACGTGTGTTTATTCATTCTTATATGTGCATTTATTCATTCTTATATGCATATTTATTCATTCTTAAATGCGTTTTAAGAAAACATATTTAAGCAATTTGTTTTTTCAATACAAATTGTTATTATTTGCTGGTAAACGAGGTTAAAAATACTTAAGACAAAGTTTTTTTACATTCAATGATGGTTTATTTAATTTAGTATAAGGTCTTTGTTTAATTTTATTATTAAATTTCTTGATTGATTAAACTATTATTTATCTAATTGTTCATTTATTTAGATTTAAATTTAATTATTTATAATTATTATTAATACTCAAATATTTACCCTATGGATGGAAGAGAAAATAGCAGTGCCAATCGTCAAACAAGGAAAAATGTTACAAAAGAGCACATTGAAATGGTTAAGCACTTAGTTGATAGAAATGAACCTACAACAAGCATTTCCACTTCTCTTAATTTATCTAAGCTCACAGTTCAAAATCTTGTTGTTAAGTTGTTAAACAGAGGAGTATTCGACAACATTACTACATTTAAGTCATTTTCTGATAAAAAAACAAAGTAAATGACCTATAAACGCTCAAATAAAAAATATTATTGAATTATGCGTACAAGAAAACAATCTTAACACAAAAAAAGCAATAAAAGAAAATCTTTCTGCATCAGGCTTCAACATGTCTCAGCCTACTATTTTAAGAAAGCTCAAGTGCTTGGATTTATTAAGAAAGTGTGTTGTGCATATACCAGAAGAACGAAACTCAACATGAGTTATTGTTGCACGCTATGCATTTGCAACCAAAGTTAACAGAATTTCAAATAAAAAACTTATTTATTTGGATGAAACTGAATTTATTGTGCACACTAACAGCACAAATGGTTATTTGCTAAGAGGTGCGCCAGCAATTTTACAATCATCTGCAAATCATGGCAAGAATGTTAGTTTGATTTTTGCTGTTTCAACAATGGAAATGCCGGCTTATGAAATAAAAACTGGAGGCTGGAATACAGATTCATTTTGTATTTTCATTCTACAATATTGGCACCAGCAATTAGGAATGCAATTATGGAAATGCCGGTGCTTGTTATGGACAATTGTAAATTCCACTGGAGTCTTTCTGTTAGGCAAACACTAGCCTCTCATGACAAAGCTATTAAGTATCTCCCAGCATACATGCCGCAGCTTAATCTAATAAAAGAATTTTTTTCTTCTTTAAAGCATACTTACAAACAGGGAGAAAAGCCTCAAAATACAGATGGGGTAATCTGGAAACTTAAAAATATTATGGATACTACAGAGTTTCAATTAATTCCATTTTACAACCATATGTGTAGTTACATAAACCAAGCGCTGGCTCGGCAACCATTTTTTAAATAAATAGTAGTGGCAACAACATAATTTATATTTTAAATAAATCTATTTAATAACATAAAAGCCTATTTATTTTTTATATAAAATTATATAAGGATTTTATGGGTAGTTGACTTACATATAAACGTGCATAAAAGAATGATTAAACATGCATATAAGAATGAATATTTACACATAAAAGAACAAATAAACATGCATATAAAAATGAATAGACACGCATATAAAAATGAATAACTCTGTAACATAGGTTTGCAATATTATATATATATATATATATATATATATATATATATATATATATATATATATATATATATATATATATATATATATATATATATATATATATATATATTTATATATATATATATATATATATATATATGTATATATATATATATATATATATATATATATATATATATATATATATATATATATATATATATATATATATATATATATATATTTATATTAAAATAAAATTATGCAAAAAAATTATAATGTAAAATGAAAAACAATAAATGAAAAATAAAAAATAAGAAGTAAAAAATATGAAACAAATTCTCTGACTTTAAAATTGCTTCCAGCATTTGAGAAACACTGCGATCTTCCAGCACAATATGCTCATTTGCATGTATTGTCCAAACCCATCGCTGATTAAAGAGGTATTCTGATAGTATTGAACCGGGTATACGTTGCTGGTCTTGTAACAATCTGTTCTGTTCTTGAAAATCACTAGAGAAATCTGTAGAAAATCTCTTTAAGACATTTTTGTTTGTCAATAACTGAATACTTTTTCGAACTTCATCAGGAATTAAATCATACCTATCATTAAATATTATATATATATATGTATATATATATATATATATCTATATATATATATATATATATATATATATATATATATATATATATATATATATATATATATATATATATATATATATATATATATATATATAGATATATATATATAGATATATACACATATATATATATATATATATATACATATATATATAAATATATATATATATATATATATATATATATATATATATATATATATATATATATATATATATATATATATATATATATAAAATCTGTCTAATAAAATAATAACTAAGAACATTTTTTAATTAGTTCATCATTTGAAAAAATCAATCATTTGAAAGCGTTATAAAAATATACTTGACAAGAATTCGTTCAAACTGTTTTGTTAGAAATATAATACATGGAAGTTCTATTTGAGACTTGCTTGCAACAGAAGAATTTAAATCAGTCATCTTTGAAATTGGGGCTCGTAAATTACCCAACTGTTCTTTTAAATACTCAACTTCCTATAATAAAAACATAAATTAATGATAAAAAATATTTATAACAAATTTTTTTATTTAATATTGTAGTTTCTAAAACTGAACATGAATTTGATACATCATAATACAACATTCAATCATTGATATTTACAACTAATAATGTAATATTTAATACTACATTAATTTAATTTATACTACTTTATTTAATATGGTTATGTAAACACTTGAAGTTAACACCTGTCATGATATATTTACAAGTTGTAATAATTACAACTTGTGAATATAATAGGACAGGCGTTAACTTTAAGTATTTACATAACCATATTAAATAAACACCTAAAATACTAATCTTTTTATATATAATAATAATTAAAAAATAATATAAACAGTAACATTTAATGATCAAACTTTTGATCATTAAATCATTAAATTATTAATTTTTTGTTTTTAGTTTCTTTTTATTTAAAATTCCTTCCTACTTGTTAACAACGTAAAGTTTGTACCACAAAAAATAATTAGCTAACAGCATAAAGTGTAAATCACAATAAATAACCTGTTAACAGTGTAGAGTGTGCATAAAAATAAATAACCTGTCAACAGCGTAGTGTGTATTAAAATAAATAACTTGTTAACAGCCTAAAGTGTGTATCACAATAATTAACTTGTTAATAAAAAAAACTTTATTTAATCAATGAATTCCTTATTTTTAAACTACCTCTTTTTAACATATCACATAACCAACTTCAACATCAACATAACCAACTACCTAATTCTTTAACTATCTATTTATAAATTAAACTTTCAAACTTTATTCAAATTAGTTTTATATGAAACTTTACCTTAATTCGATCTTTTCCAGGTGTACCAGCAAGAAAAGCAAGTCTAATTACTATACACAAACCTTTGTGCTTTAACCGAAGCACGCAAAATGATGATGGTTTATCTCCAGAGTTACTAAAAAAAAGTTAACCTTTTCACAAAATGCTTCTAATATTTCTAAATTTGCAATTTTATATTTTTAATATTGTTATTTGATACTAGCTTTATGTCAACTAGCATTTACGATGTGCTAGTACAACTAGCACATCGTAGATAAAAGAATCATAGTAAATTTTTTTCCACTATCATTTTTTAGTTGAACTAATCAATAAAAATACAATACTAAAAAAAATACATAAAATAGTAGAATATAATAAAATAGATTAAGTACTGTAAATCTATTCAGTACATGAAATCGAACCTCAGTCTCAAACCAACCTAAAAGTCTTATAAATAAAATAACAGCTTTTATTGATACATTCAACTCATACAACCCTCGAAATTAAGAAAAATGAGGTCGTCAATAATTTGCTGACCTTAATCTTTTAGAGGTCGGCAAAAAAAATTTGGTGCCAACGTCTTACTATAAAACATAAAAATAAGGTCTGCAATTTTTTGCTGACCTCAAACACTAAAAGTAAAAAATAATTATATATTATAAATTACACATTTCGTTTGTATGTCTTTGTTATATACTTCACCATGAACACGAAAATGTTTATTTTATAAAATACTTTTACAGATGTAGAATATTTTAATTTTTGTTTATAACCGTGAATACAGGCCTTCTTGTAAAAGGCATGTGATCGCACGCCTTATATGACTACGCATATAGTTCTTTGTTTTAACAACTTGACCACGGCTTATTGCAAGTTTTGATAATTAACACGTTTAAAAAATGCGCTAAAAAAAGCAAGGCAAATTAAAATTAAAATAAACAATCCATAAACTGAAAAGAAAATAAAATCCTTAAAATAATATATATGATATTAACCTAAAAATGTAAAATATTTAAAGAAGGATAAAATAAATAAAGGAAAAACCAGAAAAAAAATCAAAACATTTATTAATTATTAAATGTAAGCAAAAGTGAAAAAATGTCAGCTCTAATAATCTTTATCATTCCTTCCAATGAATAAATAGGCTAATACAAGGGCGGATCCATAGTGAGGGAAAGGGTCATGAAATTTAATAAAATTTTGTGGTGCAAATTTAAAATTTTATTAAAAAGCTAATGGGATACAGGGTGCAACAAATCGACAAATGTGTGCACATTTCTTAAAAGACAGACAGAAAAACAAACATCACATTTCATTAATTTTACTTATGCAAATGTTGCCGTTTGATTAATATTTTTTAAAACAAATGCATTACTTCAGCAATTTTTTCAAAATAATTTTGCGATCAATAGTTTTTTATTTTTTACAAAAAACACATATTTAAAATGAATAACAATTAATTTCAGAGACTTTTTTTAAAAAATGCCAAAACATTATTACTTTTTTCAATAGCGTCACTTTTAAGTAAAATAACTAACCACGCTATAAAGAAAAGTAATTATGTTTTAGCATGGTTTTTGCATGCGCTCACAAAAGTATGCATAATTTTACTTAAAATAAATGCTTTTGCAAAAATTTCAAAAGAAACCGTCCTTCAACAATTCGATTGCTTTTTTTCATTGAAGAAAGCGATTATGTTTAAGCATGGTTTCTTTTATGTTTTTAGCAATTACATTAAAGTAAAATGATTTCATTATAAATAAAATTGTGCATGCTTTTTTTTGTAATTATCTTATTTTCCTTTAAGTGAAATAATATTTGTTTGCATATTAAAAACACTTTTAAAAGTTATTTTTATTGTGCGTTTATCATAAATTTGCGTGCACTTTGCAAATGTGTAAAAAAAAAGTTTTTGAAAAATAACAATTGAATAAATTTACCAAGCATCTTTGATATATTTGATAACTTATTAACTAGAATAAAAATTATATAAAAAATTTGTTTGACATCAATCTTTTAAATTAGACGTTTGTCAATAAATAAAGATATGCAAGTCGATATTCATTAAAAAAAACAGTATGTCATGCCCTGGGATAAAAAATAGTTGGCAAATGCAACTGTTTCAAGATTATTGTAATTCTTTTTTATAGTAAATAATTTCTTTATTAGAAATTATATTTCCATGATAAAACGGTTTGTAATTATTTTTTGATAGCTTCTGTACTCATTTTGCCTTAAACTCTAATCTGAATATTTTTTTTAACAATTGCTTTTATTAAGTTGCATTAAAGTACTCAGTAAATTTTGTGACAATTTAATTTTAATTATGTATTCAATTAAATTAAAAATCGCATTTACATTTGCTTTGTTTTTTGTTTTTTTTTTTTTTAATTTCTAAAAACTTGCAAAATACAGTGGTCAAGTTGTTAAAACAAAGAACTACATGCATGGTCATATAAGGTGTGCGATCGCACGCCTCTTACGAGAAGGCCTGTGAATACATTTTCTGTAAGCTTATTTTTAATCTTAATTTTCTTTTCCGAGTTAAAGAGCAAGAAAAAAATTCACGATTTGAAAATAACTAAACTTTTTTGTCTGTTTTATTTGTTTACCAAATAAAAAAACAAAGTTGTTTAGTGTTATGTCATAGGTTAAATAAATGTTGTACTGTTAAACAAAAAATTTACAACAATATTTTAATAAAAACTTTCAAAGCTGCTGTAAACTATAAATATATTGTATACACAGAAGAAGTAATATGTTTTAATAAATAAATAAATAAATATATATATATATATATATATATATATATATATATATATATATATATATATATATATATATATATATATATATATATATATATATATATATATATATATATATATATATATATATATATATATATATATATATATATGAGAGAGAGAGAAAGAGAGAGAGGAACGAACACAGACTTGTTTTAGTACAACTGGAGCGGTATGGGTGTCCAAAAAAATGCACCTAAAAATTATTTTTTACTTGTTTTTTTGCTTTTGTTTTTTTATTAAAAATAGAATAAAAAAGTTTCAACTTTAAATGCAGTAGTAATAACTTTTGTTTCCTTTAGCTTCATTTTTAATGTAATTATTTGCCATAACTCGTTTAAAGTTCAATGTTATTAACGTTCCAATTTTATTGGAATATTAGATTTTTAAAAAATGATTAAAAACTTATTACGAAAATCAATTTGAAGACAATGGATTGTATAAAAAATTTGTTTTAACAAAAGATGGGACAATTTTAAAGTATTCATGCAGAGTAATGTTTTCATTTTGAAATTCAAGTTAAGTATAAAAGCCCTAAAATTCCTTTATGCATTTTGAAAATATATTTTATGCATTGAAAATATATTTTATGCATTTTGAAAATATATTTTATGCATTTTAAAAATATATATTATGTTTGAATAAACAAAAAAAATCTATATTTTTTCTCTTATTTCATACAAAAAAATGATTTAAAAGACAATTTGATTTTGCTACATTTTTTTATTTTTGTTTCATTTTTTGTCTTGTTTAATTATCTTTTGTCTTAAATATTATTATAGAAAATATATATTATCATAGTTAGTCATAGTTTATCATATCTAAAATTAATAATAAGATGAACAAAATCAACTGGCGGCAGCCATAATAAGTTGGCATCCAAATATAGTTCAATATATTTAGATGCCAACTTATTATGGGGAGAAAGGGAGAGAAGAGGAGGTATCTCTAGAACACTCCCCTCCACTATCTTTACTCCTTATCTTTCACTAATTGTCACTGGGAGAGAGTAGATAGATAAATATATAGGGATAGAGAAAGAGAGAGGGAGAGAGAGGGAGACAGAAAGAGAGAGAGAGGGAGAGAGAGTAGATAGATAGATAGATAGATAGAGTAGAACTTTGATTGATTGAAAAACAAGATTTAAATTAAAGCAGAAATAAATTAAAAATATATATATTTTTATGAAAAATTAAATTTTAATAAAAATAAATTTTTATTAATCTATATAAAAATAAAAAATCTCAATTATGTTAATTTTTTTTTTTTTTTTTTTGGTATAGTATTTAATTGGCATTCTCTATATAACTTTTCTGTAAGTTTCTCTATAACTTTATATACTTCTATAAGTTTCTATTTTTCTTCTTTAACTTTTCAGTACTCTTTAACTTTTTGCATCTTAAGCTGTTACAAGAAAAATTATAGCTAATGCAGGATAACTATAGCTGCATAAAAAGACTTCAAACACTCTGGTATCATCCTCGCATCAAAAGATTGCATTTCAAACTTGTAATCTTAATAAATAGTTAGTAAAGTAAATAATAATAAGTAATGTAAATAATAATAAGTAAATAATAATAATAAGTAAATAATCTTTAAGTAGATTGTAGAACAATTAAAATATTTTTGTAACTTTGAATCAAATGAGATACATGAAAGATCAAATGAGATACTTTGATCTATTGTTATTGCGTAAACTACTTTTTAAGTTTTTAAAAAAGCTTTAAGTGATTGTTTATATCCACCACAGCTATGTATGGTAGTAAGCATATTTCTATTATAAATATATATTAATATTGTAAAGTAAAAAAATAATTATAATAGTATTAAACAGTTTCAATTATTGAAAATAAGGAAATAAAAACTTCATTTAAAGAACTTCATTATTATAACTTTTAACATCAAATATTTATTGTGTTTAAAAATACATTGTAAACAAATTGAATTAAACTGTTATAGGTAATTAAAAAAAACAATTTAAACTAAAAAGCTTGCGCAAAAACTGGTAGCTTACACAAAAAGCTACTTTGACAAGCAACATACTCTGTGTGCATTTTAAAAAAGCATGTCTTAGCTTTGAGCTCACTCCAACTTTGTGTTTATAAATAAATTCAATTTTAAAATTTTTGTGTTTATAAATAAATTCTTTTTTAAAAAAAGACAAATTTTTTTTTTTCAAAAAGTACAAACCTGGTCATAAACTTAATGTATGAATGGTTTTCCAAAAGAGTGAATGAACACCATCTTTTCAATAATCCATTAAATGCAGCTACAGCTGCCCGCCGATGAATACAGGTATAATTTTTATTTGAAGCTGGAGTAAAAACCTCTTTTGTAACAGGTCTGTAAAAAAAAATTATTTTGAATTTATAATAATGATAAAGGGATTACTTTAAATTGATATACAAAAATAATTTATATTTCAACTGCTGATATTTATATTGAATATTGTGGCATACTATCAATAAGATATTATGCCACAGCATTTTCAATGTTTACTGTGATCTTTCCTTATTGTTTCAAATAATAAGGTTGAGTGATTGTGAATAGTAATAAAGATATGTAACAAAACTGTTAAAAATAAAAACTAACCAAGTTAATTGTAACAGTTTTATTTACAGTTTTGAGTCAACTCCCTGAACTTTAGTAAGTTCAAAGATTTATGGCAAACTCCTTTTAGTGAGTTTACATGAGTCTCCAATAACACATCACCCCTTGCTTTTTGTTGCTGCTGGTGTCATTATCTCAACTTTTGAGGAAATCAAGATTATCCAGATCATATTTCAAATATTTTAAATAGATTATTTTAAAAATCAAGAAAATTTTTTCTTAAAAATATCCAGAAAATATTTTTAAGAAACATCCGGAAATATAAATGCATTTTGTGTAACTAAGAAAATATCATGTATCATAAAAGTCTCAGAACATCTCAAAAAAAGAAATTCATTATTTGTACACGTTTACAAATAATGTACATAATAAAAACATTATTTGGACACAAAAAATGTTTAAACGTTTTAATTTTTCGTAAAATCAGTGGTGTAGTGCCATGGATGTTACAGTAATTAAATTTTAATTTTTTTTCAAAGTAGTTCTATGTTTTTTAACTATTATTGTTGTTATCCTAGATTACCCTAGATAAACTAGTCAAATAATTTTTTTAATATATGTACGCGTACAAATAAAAAAAAATTATTTGTACAAATAATGCCTAACCTAATTAAGTTTAGCGTAGAGTAACTGATGATCAATATCTGCTTTAATTACTAGATGTAAAAAAAAATAGTCGACTACCAACTAATGGAGAAGTTTTACACCCTTATCTCTTATGATGAAACTAACTATTAAAAAAATTGTTACCTCTGTAGTTAGTGAATTTTTTTGGAAAAAAGCATAAATTTAAACAAAACAGAAATAAATACTGTTACAATTACACATCTGATACATCTAAGAGAAAATTTGATTAAAAATGTTGTACAGTTCATTTCCTGAATTTTATTAATTGTCATCTCTGTTTGATATTGCAGCATCAAATGCAGAAGATTTGATTAGACATCTTTCGTGACACCATTTCGTGACATCTTTCATGACACCATTAACCATATATCAGATTTAGATTTTCTCGCAGATTAGCGCTAATTAAAAAAGCAACTTTTTTCTTTTGTCCATTAGAGTTATGAAAGTAAAAAAAAAGAGCAAAAAGAATCACAAAAAATAAAAGCTATTAAAAGAGAGAAATCAAGAAAAAACATATATATAAAAAGATAGATCTAACGTACTGCCAAAATTTGATAATGAAGACAAGATTTCTAAAAAAAATGGAAGAAAGAGCTATTACTAGACAAAAAAAAAAAAAAAATTAAGAAATTAGAACATCCTGAAGTTTTTTTAATAGTCGATCTCCATATTACAAACCACTTAGACACTTAAAAATAATATATGGTCTAAACCTTCATTAAGTTCAGATACCCCTTTAGAAAAATTGATATTGAGGAATCAGTATTAAAGGCATATAACAAATAAATGTACAATGGCGCAAACCTTGGGCCTTCCATTCAGCAAAATGGATGGGAACAATTTTTTAAACATCAGAAATCTTTGCTTTTGCTGACTTAATAGGGTATAAAGAAAGTTATATAGAGATATTATGACAGTTCTGGATTGCTAATCCTTAAAACACAAACCCTGGATTACTAACTTTAATAAGCCTGTAACTGAAACATTCGAGTAACAGGAGTTGGATAAATTAACTTATTCTTCAGTTTTTAATTTCTTCTTCCTAAATCATTTAATTAAATTCAGTCATTTAAAAAAGGTTTAAAAATTTATATGTTTATGTTGTTATATAATGTTTATGGCATTATAAGGTTTATGTTGTTATATAATGTTTATGGCATTATAAGGTTTATGTTGTTATATAATGTTTATGGCATTATAAGGTTTATGTTGTTATATAATGTTTATGGCATTATAAGGTTTATGTTTTTATATAATGTTTATGGGATTATAAGGTTTATGTTGTTATATAATGTTAATGGCATTATAAGGTTTATGTTGTTATATAATGTTTATGGCATTATAAGGTTTATGTGATGATTCAGTTAAAATGGTTATGTTATGATTCAGTTATAAGGTTTACGTGATTCAGTTAAAAAAAAAGATTATAAAAAGATCTCTAGGGACATCTGGGAGAAAAATCTGAACCATCAGAGTATGACTGTATGTTTTACCTCTGATACAAAGTTAAAACTATTAAAATAATTAAGGACGTGTTTTTGCAACTGCTATTAAAATCTGAAGTTCTCATCATCTGTACCCTTCAACATACTAATCTATATCATATTAAAACAAGACATTTTTTTATTTTGTGATTTTCGTGACTTGGCAAAATTATTTTTACTTTTATGAACCTTTTACAAGTAATCAAGGGTCTTAGGTTTTTATAAATTTTATAAGTAATCAAGGGTTTTAAGTGTTTCCTAAAATTTTTCTAATTGAGTTAAAAATTTACAAAGACATATTATACTGATTCAAACTAGAGAAATTTAAAGCCATACATAAACATTGCATAGATGTAAAGATAGGTTTTTAGCCTTTTGAGGCTCTTGAAGCTTATGTCTACATAATGCACTCTATGTCTATGTCTAAGGATAAACAACTACGCAATAAATAAAAACAAAATTGGAAACAACTACGCAATAAATAAAAATATATGCTGTAAGTTTTATTGCATAGTTGTTTTAGATTGGAAACAACTATGCAATAAAACAACATATATGTTGTAACAGCAAAATTTATGCTGTTACAGCATAAATTTTGGAAAAAGGAAAAAAAATTAGCAAAATATTAGTTGGATATTAAGACAGAGACACTTTAGAACACAGAGTTTCAGAAAAACTAATGAGTTTGTAAGTTTAATTTTTTACTTTTTTCCTTGAACAATGAATCTTTGGAATTTTTTCCTACTTTGAACATTTATGTTTTGGAATCTTTTACTGTGAATGGTACTTTGAACAATGCACAGTGGTTCAGAATACCTGTTTTTGAGACAAAATTCATAACTTTTTACCTATTAGTTATATGTTCACCAAATTTGGCATGTGTACTAATATGAGGTTTGTGCTTCTTATGATGGTTTTTTGGTTGCTATGGATACCTCATTTGCATAGCAACCAGGCTTTTTGGTTTTTAATAAAGTAAATTTGAGACAAAATTATTATTTTTTTCAAACTATTAACAGTATTGTAACAAATTTTGGTAAACATATTAAATGGATGATGTGATTTGTAAAGGAATTGTTTTTATGAATTGTTTTGTTACTTTAGACACCAAATTTGCATAGCAACAATAACATTTGGTTTGTTATAATAGTTATTGTAAACATATAAGTTTAGGCCTAGCCCTACAATAAATAATAAAATAGTTTATTCATTGGTATCAACCATGAACACTTGTTTATGTGCTAAAAGGGTTTTTATTCAATTTATAGAGAACAGGCATTCCGATAGCATTCCAATTGACAGACCCGCAGATGAGTATTTGATGAATACTTTGTGGAATGTATGACCATGGATAAGGTTCATTATATTGTCTAGCAACTTGATAACAAAATAACTATAGCTTGTCAGGATTAATATTAAATCCAGATAAGAGTGTTGCCACGATGACATGGATATTCTTGAAAAAGTTAATATCTAAATCAGTTATTGCACAGATTTCTTCAGCTCTATGAAAAAAATGCCTTCCAGAGTTTCCATCATTGCTTGTTCCAGAACCAGCAGACTTTGGCTAAACAACAACAAGACCAATCATTTCTTAGTCTCGCCTGAATTACCTTCTTTCTTTTAGCTACAGAAACTTTATCCACATCATTTCGAGATTTTTTTATTTCAAGTAAAATTAAAGTAAAATTTGAAGTTGTTGCTTATCAATGGTGTGTTATCTGTGTGCTTATCAATGGGTGTTATCAGGTGTGCTTATCAATGGTGTGTTATTAAATATTATCAATGGTGATTTGATATTTTACAAAATTTTGAAAACTCTAAAATCCTTTAAAATAAATATATATTGTTCTAAAGCCTTTATAGTAAAATAAAATGAAAAATTTTCTATGCTATAAAGATCTTAATATTATTAAGATCTAGATAGTTATTATTACTGTTTAGCATCATTCAATTAAACTTTTTTTTTTGTACTTTTGTCACACTGCTGACCCACTGTACAATGGTACTTTAGAGTTCTCAACAGTTTTCATATTTTTCTGAATCTTGAACTTTCAGTTTTTAAATTTTTTTTTAACTAAAATAAAAACTATTTTTTAACTAAATAGTGAAAACCACTATTTAAGTTGGAAACTAACAAAAGTATTTAATTGTGGTTTTTTGTTAACTTCCAACTTAAATAGTGTTTTTCTGTTAATTTTCAACTTAAATTGTGGTTTTCTGTTAATTTTTAACTTAAATAGTGGTTTTCTGTCAACTTCTAACTAAAATAGTGGTTTTCTGTTATTTTCAACTTAAATAGTGGTTTTCTGTTATTTTCAAACTTAAATTGTGGTTTTTTGTTATTTTCAACTTAAATAGTGGTTTTCTGTTAACTTCTGATTTAAATTGTGATTTTTTGTTAACTTCCAACTTAAAAAGTGGTTTTCTGTTAATTTTTAACTTAAATAGTAGTTTTTGACGCTTTCCAATTACAGCGGTTGATAATCTATTTAAAATTTTAAATTAATAATTAATATCAAATTTCTCACAAGCCTAAAAAAATAAAGACAAAAAAGAATACTGTAACATAATTATATATGATGTATATTTTGAATTTCATAAAAATTATAATTTGATTTAAACTTCTGGATTTATAATAGAGCCAAGAAACAAAATAAATTCAAATTATCTAGAGATAATTTAAAATTTCAACTCAGGAATATGTCAAGTTAAGTAATGAAAATTAAATCCCCCTAACTTTAGTCTACCCATTTTAAAAATTTATCTTTGAATATTTTTAATAACTAATCATTAACAAAACAGAAAAAAAAAACAACCTATCATGTTCAAGAAGGATACTAATTCTGTGGCAATGCAACCATTTAGACCTAAAAAAGATTCTACATTGTAAAAAAAAATATGTATGTGTATATATGAACACACACACACATATACATACATCATTTATGGTGACATTATTTTAACTTTTACATGACTATTTATTTAACTTAATAATATTAATTTAAACTGTGATATTTTGTCTCATATAGTTGGAGCCATTTTCAAACTAAAATAATATGTAAATGTAGTAGAAAATCACTTACCAAATTTTTTTCATTTTACTCTCTAAATTTTTCAGTGTAAAAGTGTAAAGTAAAATAAAATTTGATAAGTAATTTATATAGTATGCTTTTTGTAAATTATATTTACAATTATTTGTTATATATATACAGGCCTCAGTAGGAAGCAAGAGCTGAGTTCTTGCTCTCGCCCACACTCCCCTAAAATGGTTTACGGGACTAATTTACGGCTTTCACAATAGTATAATTTTTTCTCTAAATAGTATAATTATAATTGTAACTAAAATGAAAAAGAAAAAGTCATTTTATAAAAATAAAAAAATTAATTGCATAATAAACTGCAATAAATTTTAAAAGGCACTTTGGTTGCAAAAAAAAAAAAAAATTTAAAAAGAGCGCCAATTGAATTGCACGTTTTTGATTAGATTGGACTGATAAATTTAAAATTATTACACTCTAAATTATAAAATATAAGATTATTCAACTAGTAAATTATAAAATTAGTTTAAGTTATTGCATAATAATTTCTATTTTATGCAATGAATTATATTTTATATACATTATTTACTTTAATATATTATTCACTTTTATTGTGAAATTTTTAATTGTTGTAATAGCTCTTAAAATGCCTGAATTCTAATACAGTAAAAAAAAATATGCAACATTTTTTATAAGAATTAGAAATTGTTCACACTAGCCTATCCATTTATTTGTTAACTGTTGTTAACAAATAAATGGATAACTAGTGTGAAAACCCAGATAACACTTGTCCAGAAAAAAAACGTTACTAACATATGCTTGTAACAAGTATAAAATCAAATTTTCTATTTAAAAACCAATTTTTTAAAAGAATAAACAGACAGCTTGCGCAAAAATCAAAAGCTCTCGTAAGAAGCTATTTAGAGGAGCAACTCGCATGGATCTCTGTGTTTGTTTTAAAGGAGCTTCCCTCTGCTCTTGCGCTCATTTTCTCCCGCCAAGGACTGTATGTGTATATATATACATATATATATATATATATATATATATGTATATATATATATATATATATATATATATATATATATATATATATATATTTATATTTATATATAAATATATACATATATTTATGTATATATATATATATATATATATATACATATATATACATATATATATATACACATACATATATATATACACATACGTATATCATATAGTGCTCAAAGTGAGGCGGGATGCAGCAGGATGCCATCCTGTCACCTTTTTATAAAGTATAAACCATCCCACCGCCTTTTTATAAATCTCTATATATAACCAGAGGCTATTCTAGGAAAAAAATGTGGGCGACGGTACCCCTACATCTCAAAGAAATTTAGCGAAAATTTTGCCCAATATTCTCAGAAAAAAACAATATTTGCTGTAAAAAGGTCTTTGATTATTAATTTAAGTAAATGTAGTAGAAAACCATTTACCAAATTATTAATTTGGGCAAAGCCCAAATTGACGCCCAAATACAGATGACGCTGTCAAAAACAGTCTAGAATAGCCCCTGATAACAATGATTAGACGGGATGGTATTTTTAATTTACCGAATACTATCCCGCTAATTTTTTTTCTCAACTTCAAGCACTATATATATATATATATATATATATATATATATATATATATATATATATATATATATATATATATATATATATATATATATATATATATATATATATATATATATATATATATATATATATATATATATATATATATATATATATATATATATATATATATATATATATATATATATATATATATATATATATATATATATATATATATATATATATATATATATATATATATATATATATATATATACATATATATATATCATGACAAAAAAGTTTGATACAAGCCTTTAGTAACAAATTTACTAAATTAAAGTTTCTGATTAATTTATAGTTAAATTTATTTAACAGATATGTTTTATTTTTTACAAGAATATTGTTATGTACAATAGCATTTTAAAAATTTTTTTCTGATAAACTTTTAAATAGTTAACTTTTTAGTTAAATTTAAAATATAAGTAGATTATACTTCTTCTACATGTCTAATTATCAATCAGAAGGAAGAAATTAGGCTAGTGGGTGAGATGAAGTGACCATATTAAGTGATCAACCAAATTGAGTAATATGTAATTATTGCGAAGAGAGCATAATTTAAAAAAATAGAGTAAAGATCTACTTGGATAAATGCAGATGATAAACACCTTTGTAAATTTTAAGTATTTGACATAAATGATTTTTACCCATCAATTGATGAAAAAATACTTAATAACGCTATTACTTTTGCCGAACAACATACAATAATAGACAAGCAAAGCAAACCCATTATACGTCATGCAAGAAAATCTTTCATTTTTAATGGTGGCATATCATGGATTAAGAAAAAAGCAGGATTGTTTGATGTTACCATGGGAGCATAAGATGGTGCGGAAGTTTGCGAACTATTTTAGATCAACTTTCGCAGTTTTACAACAAAAATGATTTCGGCCTATATCGGGATGACGGGTTAGCTGTTTTCAAGAACAAAAATGGCCATCAAATGGAACAAATAAAAAAACATGTTGTTCAAGTTTTTAAATGTAACAATCTCAACATCTCTATCAATTGCAATCTTAAAATTGTTAACTACCTTGATTTGACTTTTAATCTTACTCAAAATTCATGCCAACTATACTGCAAACCTGATAATAAGCTAAGTTATGTACATGCTGATTCTAACCATCCACCTAACATAATAAACAATTTTCCAAAAAATCGAGCTAAGATTGTCCGCCAACTCATCAAGTGAAGTTATTTTTAAGTAAAGTTATTTATAAGTCGACACATCTTTATGAAGACGCACTAAAGCAATCAGGATACGATTATAAGTTGGCATATAAACCAATATAATAACAAATGCTCCAAAAATCACCACAAACGAAGTATAATCTGGTACAATCCTCCATTTAGTAAAAATGTTACAACCAAAATTGGTCAACGCTTTTTAACCCTAATTGACAAGCATTTTCCTAAAGACCACAACCTACACAAAATATTTAACAGAAACACAAATAAAATAAACTACTCCTGCATGCCAAACATTAAACCTATCATCAACTCACACAACAAAAATATTTTATATGGTGATGTAAAGTTATTAGAAAAAGCCTGCAATTGCATTAAAAAATCTCTTTGTCCACTGAACAACAATTGCTTGTCTAACAACATCGTTTACCAAGCCACTGCACAGTGGGCCAGAATTCCCTTTTACTAGACAAAATTCATAACTAATTTAATATTAAGGCTATAATTACTAAAATTAGCATGAGTACTAATTTGATGTCTGCCCTTTTTATAAAGGTGCTTTTTTTTATTTTGTTGCTATGGATACCTTTATTTTGCTTAGCAACAACCTATTTTTGGTATTTGCAGATATTTTACGAGTGCTATATTCACTAAATTTGGCATGAGTACTAATATGTGTGCACTCATGGCCTACTTTATACACGGCCGGATATGTTGCATAAATAGGCCGAAAATTAGAAGGCCAGTTTTTAGCATTTCGGTTATTTTTCATACTGCCAGTTAATATTGTTTAAATTTTATATTGGGAGATATTGATTAAGTTGGAAATTTAGTTTTGGATATAAGGGTGAACAAATGTGCTGTTTTTAATTGTCGATCTGGCTATAAATCTAAAAAAAATGAATCTAGTTTTCTTAGTGCAAGTAAAGCTGTTTTTAGTTTTCCTATAGATACTGTTAAAAAGAAATTTAAAAGAAAAATGGATGAAATTTGTTAACAGAAAAGATTGGAAGCCAACCAAACATTCAGTTATATGCTTGGACCATTTTGAAAAAAAGTATTTAAAATATGGAAAACGAGTTACCTTAAAATATGAGCTAAACCCATTTTCCAACCATTTATTCTGATGAAATTTCTATTCCATCTTCTATAATACCTAAAATTCCTACTTTTCGTAAACCTCCAACTGACCGACATTCTACCATCCCAGATGAAATTCATACATTTCAAGAAATGAATAAAATAAAAAAAATTGAAATGCTTCATGAATCTAACTCTCCAAATGGATTTAGTTTTTAAAGATATGAAAGTTTTGTTTTATATTATTGTTTATTTTTTGTAGACACAACTCCATTTATTGAATCAATACGCATCGATAACAATTTGCACGTAAAGTTACATTACAAAAGTTCTCCACTTCCACTCCCTAAATAGTTTAGAACAATTAACAATTGTAAGTTTACAAGTTTATCGATTTTAAATAACTTGGTGTCTTATATGCACAACCTTGTTGAAGAAAATTTGTATGGTTTAGTTAATGAACTATCAAATTTAATTTTTTACAAATCCAAAGGTCGTCCTCCATATTCTTCACAAGTATTACGTTTTGCACTTTTGCAAAGATATTCATCATTTCAGACTTATTCCCTTCTTTTGAAACAACTCCCATTGCCATCAATGTCACTACTAAAGAAGTTAGTTTCTGGTGGAATCGATTCAATAAAATCATTAAAACTGTTATTAAATGAAGGAAAAATAAGCAATGATTGTGTTCTCCTTTTTGATGAAATGTATTTCCAGCAATCTTGTGAACACCACAGTGGTAGATTAATTGGTCAAGATACTGAGGGTAATCTTTACAAAGGAATAATTGTGTTCATGATTGTTGGTATTAAAAAATCAATACCATATGTTATTAAAGCTATCCCAGAAATTAGTCTTACTTGAGATTTTATTAAAGATGAAATAGAAGAA